TCAGTGAGACATGTAGAGATCTATACATTGGAGAAACAAAACAAATACTTCATAAAAGAACAAACCCATCAGGACAAGATTCAGCATTTCATCTGCATTTGAAAGATAAATGTCATTCTTTTGAAGACAGTGAAGTTCACATTCTTGACCAACTGTTTGAAAGAGGGGTCAAAGAGGCCATCAACATCAAAACTTAATAACCTTCTCTCAACAGAAGGGACAGGATACAACACCAGCTATCTTCTGTTTACAATACAGTCCTTTCAGCAGTTCCAAGGAGGTTCCATACTCATTCGCACTATTCAGGTGACCTTCAGGACACAGATAAACCTCCAAGTGGCCTCAATGACTCTCAGTGAGGATGCTAATAATCAGATGATTGCAATGAATATAAATCTTTCCATCCTCCACCATTCAGTCAGAATTGAAAAGGCTGCTTGGATGAGAAGCAAAATATCTTCAAAGAAAAACAAAGTCCAATTGTCCTTTGAAAAAGCACCTTTGGGACAACCATGATCTGAATGACTGAGAATTTCCATAGGCACACTTGTAACTAATGCAGGAGTAGTGTTACATGTGCCATGTAACTGGCACCATTTACTACCTGTGCAGCCAAATTCTGCAACAGTTGGAGCTTCAATATGGTCTTCAAGGGCAGCCCCATGTAAAGCATATCATAGTACTCTAACCTGGAGGCTACAAGGGTGTGAGTTACTGTGCAAAGGCCCTTCTAGCTATGGCCACCACTTGCTCCTTGAGCTGGAGCAACAAGTCCAGAAGGAGCCCAAGATTGTATACCAAGTCTGCAATCCCATCCAGGACCAGAGGTAAAAGAACCTTGTCTTGGGTGTGTGTGTGCATGTCCAAATACAGCCACTCTGTTATCTCATTCAGTTCCCAACAGTCTTCAGACACTAAATAATAAATACAGATTCAATAAATAATAATAACAAACTCCAAATTCCATTTTACAGTATAATCAGGACTGAGACCCAATAATATCTAGAGGACTTCAGTTTGATCACTTCCTACCTACTCTTAACTCTGAGGCACATATTTCCTGGAAATAAATCCTACTGATTTATGTTCAATTGTCTTTGTGTAGGCAGGATTATGTTTGTGCCTCTTTACCTTTTGCTTGTGGCTCAAGAAAGGAATATTGTTGGGAGAAGAGCATGCCTTTCATTATGCAATTATATCATTGCTTTGCAGGTTCCCTGTGGAAGTTCCCACAGGAATTGCTGTATTTCCCAAAGAAATGATGTACATTCCTCGTTCATGGGCTCAAAAGAAATATCTTAACATCGTTTCATTCAACTTCATGCCTCAAGGAGGTCATTTTGCAGCTTTTGAGGAACCAAAGCTCCTTGCAGCAGACATCATACAGTTTGTAGATAAAGTAGAAAAAGCCGCCTTTGTCCAATGAAGAAGAAGAAAGGTTTTGATGGGGTGATGGGAATAGTTTTACCTTCAGTGCAGGATTATTGAGATTAAATATGGGAAAAGGTGATTTGGGTTAAACTACTACCAATTGTTCTTAGATACTTTGTAGCTCTGTTTTTTCTTATGCAAGTTGATGAAAATCAGATCGTCCATTCAAGCTGAACCCATGATGAGCTAGTACAATGCTATGACTGAATGACTGAACTGCTAATGAAGACTTTTCCTTATTTTTTTTGCATCGTTATTGTACATCACCCATCTAAATGGGCTAGTTAAATAGTAAGAGGACAAATCCTTGCTAACAATCTAGAAACAGACACAAAAGAGAAAGCAGAACAAGTGAAAGGAAATCTCATTTGTATGAGCTCACTGAGTAGCTCTTCCGTAGTCACTCTTCCCTCTTTTTTTAAACTCTTGAAACAGAGGGATGATAACACTGGCCTACCTTACAATACCTTATTCAGATAATATGGATGCTACTCACTGGATATGCAAAATGCAGCATTCCAGGAGCACATATTTCAGGATGAGCAGGGGTATCAAGAGGGTGTCAAAAAATATCAAGGTGGCAGGCATGACCATACAGTCAAAATCCCATTGCTTTTTAATGCATGTGTGATGCACGTTAAGGGTCGTCTTTGACTGTGCAGTCACACCTGCCATTATGACTTTTTTGAGCTCTCTTTGGATGCCCCTGCTCTAAGCCACACTTAATGGCCTGCCTGCACTGTGCTCTCAAAAGGTAGGCAGGGGCTGAGCAAAGTCGTTGAACTTAAAACTTTATGTAGATAAATAAAATACAGTTAATATAATTATTTCTCTTGTAATTCCTAATAATTTCTCTTTTGTCACATTAATAAATCATAATTTAGCTGGATCTGTTAAAAGGAATTGCATGATGTACATCCTTGCTTTGCATAAAACACTAAGAACAATTAAGGTTGTTAAACCAATTGTCTGATACTTTTGTCAGTTATTTAAAGTGCCTCCCAGCTGATAAACCGAAGGCATGAAAGACTGATGAAATAACTCTCATATCCTCAGCTTTGATTTAATTATTCTGTGCTTTGTCAAAAATTATATGAACTGAAAGCCAACAAGATACGTTTGTGCATTTTTAAAGGCATATAAAATCAATCTTATGATCCACAGTTTCACTTCTGGCCCCAGAATAAATTATTCAAATGAATGTAAATTGTGTTTACTGACTTCGGGGGATAAATTACATCTTTCTGGAACAATTCTGACCTCCAAGAGAAGGTTTTCAATGGTTATTTAAAAAAAAAAACATGATGGAAGAGGGCAATGACAAACCACTTTTTCACTGTTATCCAAAAAATTGAAGCCTGATATCACCAGGAGTTGAGTCTTTTTTAAAAAAAAAATAGTCAAAGATAGAGGCAGTGAAGAATGAGCTTAGTAGAGAATGGAGGAACTAAAAGGGTGATTGTAAGGATGGAGTAGTGGAATTGTACAATACTCAAAGCTTTAAAAATATTTTTCAGTCTCAAACCATATCTTCTAGAACTTCTGTCTTGCTTCTGACAGAGATCAAATGCTACCAAAGTATTTCTGATTTTATGTTAATTGATGAGTGCTGCTCACTGTTCACACATGTATCTTTTTGTTTAGAATTCAATTCTTTTACGAAGCACCTCTGACTTAGGCTATTTAGTCATCAAATGCAGCCGATATAGCCTTTTGCTGACTGACTTGGATCTCATTTATTTTTCACTAGTCAGGAGCATTGCCCAATTACAATTCCACTCAGAAAGCTCCCCAGTAGAAAAGTGTATCTTACTAGCACCTTCACACATTGCCAAAAGTTCTTCAAACAATAAAACAGATTTGATGATAATAAGGGGAATTGAAGGATGAGGGAAGAATCAGTGCAGGCCATTGCGTTATTACAGTTAGAGTGTATATTGAAATATACTAGCTAAAAAAAGAAATGGCAGAAGAAGCTATCAGTCTCCAAATCAGTTTGTTAGCTTCCTGAATATATTTGTTCCTTTCTCGCAGTAAAAAGAAAGAAAACTTCTGCCATTTAAATCCATATTTAAAATTCACTCTAGAGATTGGAAAAAATTAAGACAATATTTGCCTTCAAATTTATACTCCACAGCCCACTATCATATAAAATATTTTCTACAGTTATGCTTTAAAAATAAATGCCAATGTTTTGACTAATGAGCAGATTTTGCAAATGTAATAGTTGCATTCCTTCATAAAATATGTAGTTAATTGAGTAAGTCCAATTGAAAATTTCAGAAAATAGTGTATGTCTACTTTTTAAATAGAAAATGAATCTCATAAACATTTTTATAAAGCGAGAGGGTCCCTTGAAAATCTTAAATATTTCAGGAAGGATTGTGCGAATTTGATCTTCATGAATTTTATTGCAACATTCTGTACAATTGTATTTTTTTTAAAACTATTTCAATAAATCATCAAGAATTAACTATGGACAATAATTCATAGATGGCATATTCAATTAAAATTAAATTATATTAATTGTCATTTTTTAAAGATAGTTTTTGTGGGAGGGGTAAACAAATTGGTCCATATTACCAACTTTAGTGGCAAAGCTGCAGAGGACAATGGTTGTCCCTATTTGGAAATATAAAGTTAGCTTTACACTGGAAATATAAACTTATTTTTTCACTAAATATCACTAAAGTGATATTAAAAAATGAGCAAAAACCTGTTTTCTGTGGGTAGAAAAATTAACACAATAAAATAATGATCTTTCAATGCAGGTTAAATATAGCAAAATATTATTGCAATAATAATAATGTTTTCCATATGATTAATGCTGGATGTTTAAAAGTTATTTTGAATCAACAAAAATAATGAGTAAGTTTTTTGTATTTCAAAGACCACATATACATTCATGTATATCTATTCCTAACTATTATATTTTCGTAGTTTGTAGTTTTGTGTTCTTATTCTTTTTGATTTCCAAATTCTGAATTTTGTTTTCTAAAAATGAAATTTCTTTCATTCTATTTTGTGCCACACATTTGTGATGATAAAATGGGGGAAAGAGGGTTTGAATGATTGTGTGCAATTGTGTACAGTGTTCAAGCCTGATATGACTTCTTCAAATCGTATGCAAGAAGTCCTTCCATTCAAAAGCTCAAGAGAGATCAAAGTGAATTTCTACAGATCTTGATGAGATAGAAAGAGAGATTATTTGATTTAGAATTTTTAATGGGATGATCAAGTAAACTGTAACGATGCCAGAAAAGACATGCAAAAATAACAGTTAACCTGGTGTTGACTTAAAGAAGCTTTTAATTGAAAATTCTGACAGCCAAAGATCCTAACTAGCACTGTTGTGCATTTCATTTCAATTGCATCTGTGTATGTGTTCATGAAGCAGACTAAACAAAAAGACAGGTGTTAACATAGAGAGGAGAAACTTCCCCTGGGTTAGCTCATTCTGCTGCACCTGCCACCTGCCACCTCCTCTTCACGATTCAAAAGGCTTTTGTCCTAGAAGAATGAGAATGAAATATTCCAAGTAGCAGCATCTGGTGTGCCATAGTTAAGTAGTGTTGAGGATTATCCAACAGATTCGGGGATGTTAAGGTGTCAGGTTTCTATTTTCATCTTCAATGTTTTATATTTCTGATCTTGGTTATAAGATCTTTTGAGTAACAGCCAAACAGTCAAAGAAAGATTTTGACTTATATTATTTTCAGAAGTTAATATTTCTGTTGTTCCAGTCACTGTTATAAATATATGATTTTAGTATAATCATCCTGGATCACAGAATAATGTGGTTGTTGGAGGTGCTTTTTGATGAATGAGTTTTATATATAAATAAGTGTAAATAAATCTTATTCCTGTGTCTTGGGGGGGAACAACTCAAAATCTGGGGGGTTTGGCTTGTTCTTAAAGGAACAATGAATACATGCACATGGCAATAAATGCAATTCCTAAAAATAAAGGAGAATAAACTGTAGAAGACAGTAGGCATGTTAAAAATGGTAACGCTTTCAGGAAAGTTGGGTGGGGAGGTTAAAAACATTAAGATGGCATCTGTGATTGAAGTTCCACCCCACTATCGCTCTGTTATAAAATCTTTTAAGTTCTTAGTAGTATTTTTTAAGGGATGTGTATTATTCTGGTGAAGGTAAAGTAATTTCATTACTTTATTCCAGTCCCAAACGTTTATAGTTAGGGTTGGGAAAAATACTTGAGTCTTTGCCACCAATGGTGATAATACTGAGTTAAATGAATTAATGAACATGTTTAATATCCAACAGCATCCTGTATGTGTCATTTCTCCTAGTCTTCCAACCATTCTATCATAATAGCTGATATGACAAATTAATAAGCAATAGATTCTGACATTTCTTTTTCTATTAATGTCTTGTTTTCTGTTCTTGACTTTCCCACAACCTTAATTTGCCCTCCTTTGGTTCCATCTACTATATGTGATCTCCTGTTTCAGGCATGAGGTCACCTTCCTGAAACATACGTCAACATGTGATAAGGCTATGTGGCAGAGCCACCACATAAATAAAATTAATGTTTCCTACTAGACAGATCTGTCATGTTACAGACAAAATAAGTGGAAAGGAGGCTTATTGAATGATGGTTGCCAGACTTGCTTTCCAATGAAGTGTGGGAGGCTTTCTTTTCAGCTTATGCCTTCAGCAACAACGTCCTTAGAGGTGAGAGGGAAATCCAATGCACATTCATGGAATGCTTTTCTCGGAAAGAGGAGGAGGAGGAGGAGGAGGAGGAGGAGGACCTAAACAATGAGACAAAGAACACAATACACCAGAGAGATAGATGGTACTGTAATAATTAAAAGATGGCATGTCTCTGTTGACTACCACAAGGTAGTACAGTATATAGACTCATTGAAATTCATGAGGCATTAAATATGATAAAGAAATCCTATTGATTGAAATATCTGGTCCATTCTCAGCATAGTCAGAAGTTTAAGAGTTTAAAATACAAGAGGCTAAAGCACTAGATGAGTGACAAAATCATCTTTGTTCTTTTCAAGGCTAATCAAACCCAAGGCTGTTTGTAATTCCACTCTGAGTTTTGCCTTAAGCAAGGCCCATAGGAAGGAAGAAGTGGCAGATTCCCCCTTTTATGTGTGAGGCCAAGGTGTCAAAAAGAGAATGCAATTTGGGGCATGTGGAGCTACGGTATGTTTAATTGAGTCACATTTTCTGTAAATTCTGCACTGGTTCTTTCGAGGACATGCTTCACAGTATCCAAAATTAAAACATGGGGGGAAAACTTCTCATAAAAAGATCACGCTTTTTCTATTCATCGTGGAATGGGTCTCCTAATGTTTTCATATTTAATTAGTTCAGTCGACATGTGATAATTGCAGGATCAGGTGATTTAGTATGAAGACATGTTTACGTCTGGCTGCCAGGTTCTCCTTAATATTCTATTGTGGTTTAAAGGGCTTCTGTCTCTAAAAGAGGCCAGCAAGAGGCCCTATTTTAGAATATTGACTTCCCATTTAAATGCTGCCTCAGCTGCCAAGAGTATTGTGAATATATGTTGGAGAATGTCTGCTCAGGGTCACTATCTCATAAATAAGATTTGCCGCAAGAAAGAGTTGAGCTATTTTTTAAAAAATGGTTGCCATTCTTATTTCTTCTGTTTAGGTATCTAAAGATGTGTATGTTTTTCCAAAACCAAGAAATAAATATAAGAAGTTGATGGTGGCTGTGATCATGTAGTTAAAGAGCTGCCCCATTTTATATCTATCGTAAGGCATCTGTAATGTTTCATTTTCAATTATGTAGTTGCCGTTAAGTTCTTGAATTCTTTT